CGCCTGTACATCCTGGATCTCGATGCCATGGCAAGCTGCTGGAGCCTGGGATCACTTCTGGGTTAAGGTTTAGGGTTTAGGGTTTAGGGTTTGGGGTTTAGGGTTTAGGGTTTAGGGTTTAGGGTTTAGGGTTTAGGGTTTAGGGTTTGGGGTTTAGGGTTTAGGGTAAGTTTAGGGTTTAGGGTTCAGGGTTTAGGGTTTCGCTTTCTGGTGTGAATAGGTTGCTGGGCCCTCAAGCTGAGTGAACAGAGCTACATCTATCCGCGCATACAGGGGGGGGCATTTTCGGCAATCCCCACGTGGCGAATGAATAGAGCTGCGACTATCGAAGCCTACATACTCTTAAGAACCCCAAGCCTAACTTTTTCGTGGGCTATGAAGAATAGAAGATCCCTGATCGGATTCTGAAAAAACGTACAACAAAGTAGGCTTGAGGTTCTTAAGGTAGGGAACTGATGAACCCTAAAGCCTAAACAGGGAATCTTATAGGGATCCCCTTGAACACATTCCATCAGCTCGCGCTAAACCCATAAAACCCCCAAACCCCTAAAACCCAAAACCTGTGAAGTTTGGCTTAGTGTTGACGGTTTTGGCTTTGGAGCTGTCGATAAGAACTTGCGGTTTGAAGACCTTTGGCCTAAACCCCCAAGCATGTCCCGCCCAGCCACTTGTCCTCATCCAGCGAACGCAGATGACCTGCAGCAGCAGCTTAGCAAAGCCCACTTGTTCTCACCACCCCCGGACCCTCGGTGTGGCGTTGCTAGGATTTCGTAGATTTTCAAGCAATTAGTATTCTCCTCGTTCCGATTGCATTTTGTCCCACTTGCTGTCCTGCAACTAGTGGTGAATGGGCCAAAACCCTAAAGCCTCTGAACCCTTATTCCTAAACCCTGAACCCTATAAACCCTAAGCACTAAACCCTCACTCCATGTTCAGAGTGAGCTCTCAGGTTCGCGCAACGTCAACATCAGCAAAAGTTCAACAAAATGCGTCCAAAACCCAAACGTCACAGCCACGAAGCCCAGGACCCTCAGACCCCGAACCACCAACACTACCTTACACCCAAAGATTCCACCCCCCCTCCACAAAAAAGAAAGCACACACACACACACACACCACAAACAACCAGCAAATACTGATATAATCAATATACATAACATATCTACATACATATAAATACATACATCTATATATACATACACACTTTTTTTATACAACCAAAAACTCCCAACGAGAGCAGCACCGACTCGAGCGGCCTAGCGCCATGAGCAGGTTCTCCGCGCGCTCAGCATGTCTGCTACTGAGCTCGCGCTTCACGGCTCGCCTGTGCTCAAAGGTTTAGGGCCACAGGGCTCTGGCGTTGACCGGGTTTCGGGTTTAGGGTGTGTGGGTTTAGGGATTCGGGTTCAGGGATGTTTAGGGAGGCGCTTGAGCGTGTGACGCTTTTGTTGGGCTCTCGCTCTCTCTTTCTCTCTTGCTCTCTTTCTCTCTTTCTCTTCTTCTCTTTCTCTCTTTCTGTCTTTCTCTCTTTCTCTCTCTCTCTCTCTCTCTGGCCCGGAATGCCAGCTCTCACCGACAATTTCGTCCATACTGTCTGGATTGGGGTTGGGACGTGGCGTACCGCGTTTAGATCAGACTCACACAAATCTCAACTCAGGAAATGGGCCGACTCTGGGGGATAAACGAACCTAAAAGGGTTTATGGTTCATATACCTCGATAGGATTATAGGATTTTGGGGTACATGACTAGTACATGACCCCATTTTGGGCTTCGTTAGTCCCCCAGAAACCTGAAGGTGAATCTCTCCCATTCTGCGTGGCTGTTGTCCGAGTGGCTCTCAGAGCTCTCGCAATAGAATTCGGTGCCAAAAAACTGCAGAAAGCTAGAACCTATATCTGCCTGTTTATGTCTTCATAAGCGAACCTGGCACCCCCAAAAAGGGGGACAAGAGTACTAGGCTTCCTAGAAATACTGGGCACACCCGGAACAACCACCATCGAACAGAAACATTCTCATCAAGGGACTCAAGGAGGGATCCTGAAAAGGGATCTTAGGGGTTATTTAGGGGCTACCTAGGTATATAGGGACGAGGTATAACGAGGGTTATCTAGGGGAACAAGATTAAGTGTCCCTTCTAGGGGTCCCTCCTTGTACCCCTGAATGCTCTGCAAAACCCTGAACCCTAAACCCTAAACACTAGAACCCTGGCTACCCCTTCCCAGTCCCGCCCTCGACCCCGCACCCACCCGGTGGATACCCCCTTCCCACAAAAACAAGAGAGAGAGAGAGAGAGAGAGAGGGAGAGGGTTTAGGGTGATAATATATATATATATACACACATGTATACAGAGGCAAGAAAACACAAAACGGGTGCCGAGTGTCTTCAAGCTGGCCACGCTCAGCGCCTCAGCCGGAGGCTGAAAGGGGGAGGGGGGAAGAAAGGGATGTGAGATGATGTGAGGGTTGAGGGTTACAGAGGGTTTTGGGACTCGAAGGTTGAGTGATGTGGGACCTAAGGGCCCCCAAAGCTGCTCCCTAAACCATAAACCCTAAACCCTAAACCCTAAACCCTAAACCCTAAACCCTCCCACTCCTCCAATGCAGCCCGGGCACCAAGACCTCGCAGCCTTCGCCGGCCAGGGCGGTCCACTTGTGGGGCTGGCCAGCCTTAGGGTTTAGGGTTTAGGGTTTAGGGTTTAGGGTTTAGGGTTTAGGGTTTAGGGTTTAGGGTTTAGGGTTTAGGGTTTAGGGTTTAGGGTTTAGGGTTTAGGGTTTAGGGTTCAGGGTTCAGGGTTCAGGGTTTAGGGTTTGGAGGCTTACGAGGTTCCTAGGTTCTCTTGCAGAGGGTCGAGCGTTAGGGAAAGGCTAGTCGGTTGGAGTTTGGGGTTTCGGGCTTGGTTTTGGGGATGGCACTTTTTTGGGGCGTGATCTTTCGTCGCCGCTGTGTCGACTGCCCCCCACAGCCTAGACCAAGCCCACTGTAACACCCGGAAACCAAAACCCCAAACCAGAAGTCTTTAAGCCTTTACAGGTTCCGTTCCAAACCTCACGCGCACCACGCGCATCACCCACTTCTCCTAAGGCAAGCCAAAACCCCAACTTCGCCAATAAAAAAGAAAACGCTAAAACCCAGATGATGCCACTGATGGGCTTGCCTGAAATTACCCCCAAGCTGGCCAGCTGATGCTCACTAAGCAACCCTGCGCTCATAAACCACAAGTCCCTTTGACCCGAACCCCTCATGCAACCTTAAAAACCCTAAACCCCTAAAACCCTAAAACCCCAAAACCCCAAAACCCTAAAACCCCAAAACCTCAAAACCCCAAAACCCTAAAACCCCAAAACCCCAAAAACCTCAAAACCCCAAAACCCCAAAACCCTAAAACCCCAAAACCCCAAAACCCTAAAACCCCAAAACCCTAAAACCCCTAAACCCCGTAAACCCTAAACCCTAAAACCCTAAAACCCTAAGCCGCACAATCCGGAAACTCGAAATCAAAGGCCGCCCAAGGGGCGAGGCACGCGACCGCCCCGATGACGTCACCCGGCCCCGCGACTTCCTCTTCGAACCCTAAGCCCTAAACCCTAAACCCTAAACCCTAAGCCCTAAACCCTAAACCCTAAAACCTTTCTAGGGTTTAGGGCTTAAAGTAGGAGGTTATAGTTTATAGCATGAAGCGCAGAGCAATCGAATGCACGCCCGCATCACGACTGGAGAAATAAAAACAAAATACTTGTGAGCAAGTCGGGCCCCTAAACCCTGAACCCTGAACCCTAAACCCTAAACCCTAAACCCTAAACCCTAAGGGCTTAGGGGGCTGGGGGTTGGCTACCAAAGGCTTTCTTGAGGTCTGGTATGAAGTTAGCTTCTAATAACTTCCCCTGTTGCAGCTTCAAGTTTGGGCAGAAGTCTACTAATTTGTTTAAGAGCCCCCCCAAAAAAAGCACAGCATGTTTCCTTATGTGAGCAAGTAAGGGATTCTCATATGTCCAGTATTTGTGGGGTTCTTAAGCGAACAAAGTAGTAGTTGGGGGGGTTGATCTAACTCGTGGGCTCCGTCAACCTTGAACGTATCAGGAAAGGAGAACATAGAGACTATACATGAAACTCAATTTTTGGGCCCAACAATTCGTGCCAAACCCCACCCCATAACCCTAAGTAAGCCCTAAACCCCAAACCCATTGCTGCTTCAGAATTTTGGCTGAGCGTTTAAGGCTTTCGGGCTCCTCTCCTTTCACTCCACGCCTGAAACAGAGTCTAAGGGTAATTAAATGGTCCCTTCATATGGGCCCCGAAAAGGTACCCTTTATATACCCTGTCCAAATTAAGGGCCCATACATCAGAACCCTTTAAGGGAGGTAAGGGACCAGACTAATGGCCCATGGAACTACCCGTAGACAGAAGCCTCTACCGGAACCCAAGACAGCTTTCTTTCCCCATTTCCTTGGCTACTTCCATTTCTCTCCTCGACTCTACTTCAAGCCGTTTTAAACCCTAAACCCTAAACCCTAAACCCTAAACCCCTGTGAAGGCGCACTGTGTAAGGGACCATGAGCCATACCTGCCTCAAGTATGCCGGACCTCAAGACTAGGGACCCGCTCCTTTCTTTTTATACGGTGAGGTCGGGGCTGGGAGGTGGGTTTAGGGTTTTGGGTTCAGGGTTTAGGGTTTAGGGTTTAGGGTTTTTTGGTTGAGGCCAGAGCTGTTTGAGGATTTGGGTGTTGGGGTCAGCAAGTTGGGGTGCCTTGGCTGGGATCCTCCTCGTTGCACAATCTCCAGCAACGGCTACATGACCTTCTTTACAACTGTAGCAATCGGGGCCTAGACCTATGTCACCTCAACCCTAAATCCTATCTTTGAAACTGCGTGAAGCCCTAAACCCTAAACCCTGAACCCACACCCTAAACCCTAAACCCCTAAACCCCTAAACCCTAAACCCTGAACCCCAAACCCAAAACCCAAGTCCTATCAACCCTCAACCAGCGACCCAGCTGCGCCTTGACAACAGGCACCAGCCGTGTCATCCGGCTGCTGCGGGAAGACACCTGGGGTAATCTGCTGTGGGTTGGAGGGTTCTGGGTTTAGGGTTTAGGGTTTTGGGATGTTCCCCCTTATGCTAACAGTCCTTACCCCCCGCCCCCCCTAATATAATCCCTCTTGGGGACTGTCAGTATAAGGGGGAACATCCCCAAGTTCGGGTCGATGAAACCATGTGGGCATCACCCTAAGCCCTAGACCCTAGACTCGAAACCCGAAACCCTAAACCCTGAGGGACCCTTATGGGAAACCCAGCAGGATGACAAAGTTGATATATATATATATATATATATACATACATATATACAGATATATGCAAGTTACTATATATATATATATATATGTTTTTTGTGTGGGGGGGGAGGGAGGGGGGAGGCAGGCAAGAGCTTCAGCCCGTGAAAAGGAGATCAATCTCATACTCCCAGCAGACGAACATCTAAAATACAACAGCTTTGCGCTCACAACACCTGGGTACTCCAAACGCGTCCGGCCGCGCGATCCAGGGTTTGTAGGGTTTAAGCTTATAAAGCAAAGGAGTAACACCCCTTTCTAAGCAACACTTCGAAGAGGAAGCGCAACACGCATGGCAGGTTTAGGGTTTATGGGGTATAGGGTATAGGATATAGGGCTTATGGAGTCAGGTTTAGGGGACATATCACATGACACAACGAACAAGCAGTCGGCACACAGAAGCTCCAAGTCCAGAGGTTGAAGAACCACAACAGTGATGATCCAAACCCAAACAACCAAGACCAAAGAAATTAGGGTCTAGGGTTTAGGGTTTAGAGATTAGGTTTAGGGATTAGGGTTTAGGGATTAGGGTTACGAAGACAACCCCGAATCCCCAAACCTTCATCTGATCCCAGACTAAACGGCCCAACAAACAACCGCCACGCACTGCCAGCGTGAACGCGCCAGCGCAATCGTAGCTGCAATAAAAACTTTTAGGGTTTAGGGATTTGATGTAGCCCAGGAACCATCTCATAATTAGGGCACCCTAGGTTTTTTTCGAGTCAAGGCAACCCGAAACCCTGAGCCGAACGCAGAAGTCTCCGAATCCTTCAGCCTTGCATCCGAAACTGGGTTTCTGGGGGTCTGGGTTTATAAACCCTAAATTCGCAATGCAAAGCCACGCTGGCTGCACCTGCGACAGCTCTTGCACAACGGGCTCTGGCTCTTCCGTTAGCGACTCCTCGGAAAAAGCCCCTAAGCCGGCAAGCTTTCCCTAACCCTAAACCCTAAACCCTAAACCCTAATCCTACACCCTAAACCCCAAACCCCAAACCCTAAACCCTAAACCCTAAACCCTAGAGGTCCGCAGAAGCTTTTTGAAAGTTCGAGCCCGCAACACGTTGGAGCAAGGGCTTTGTGGAGTTCATGGTCAGTTTGGTTGGCTGCCCTACTACAGTACCGGATTGTCCGGCATACCTGGGAAGCTCACGACGTTTGTGTACGCAAATTCGTTGGGGCGAGGGGGTGGTGGGGGGGGGGAAAGAGAGCTTGCAAACATGGGACTCTATCTTGCACCCCCCAAGGTTGTATCCTTGGGTTTTGGGGCCTAACTTTGAAGGTACCCTAAAAGAAGGGCTATATTACGAGTATATCTTAAACCCTTAATGCAAGGAAGAACAAAGGCAGGTCGGTCCTAAACCCAAAGCCCCTTAGTCCCATCTGATAGTAGCGTTAGCTCCAATGCCCACAACTCTAACCAAGCTTCAAACCTTCCAGCTGGGTTGCATGACAAGGGGGGTCGAGTGCTTCGAATGTAGGGTTCAGCCTTTGGGGATTCCGGGCCTAAACCCCTGCACCTGCAAGACCCTAGCCACACTCCCCTTCACTGCCTCGGCCACCAGTGCGTTTGTCGGCGTGGCCGCCGGCGCGGCCTCACGTGGTTCCTCGCCAAGCAGGTCGGCTTAGGGTGTAAGGCTAGCCCTTGAGATGTCCCCCTGAGACTAACAGTCCTGAGTAGGGATCATAGTACCCCCTCTGACAATCGCGATTCAGGACTCTTAGTAGAATGGGGCCGGGGAACCTCCTAAGCTAGCCCTAAACCGAAGACCCTGTAAACCGTAAGGCTCAGGATCCAACATATACGCGCCCAAGGCCGAAACATGGGTTCCCCTTCTCCCCCCCTCTCTGCTACCCTCCCTTGGCTCCCCCCTTAAATAGCCTTGGCTCAAGTATCCCTAAATAGCCTTACTTATGGGGAGAACCTGGGGGGGGGGGGGGTAGTATAGAGAGGGGGAGAACCCATGAGCTTAGGAGTTTCGCGTCACAACGCTCGGTTTACCCCTGGAGAGTTAGCCTACACTGTACTACTTCACAGCACCTGAACCTAAACCCGAGACGGGCTCGAACTGTCCTTCTCCTCCTGACCTAAACCCTAGGACAAACCCGAAACAGCCAAAAGGAATTGAACAGCTAAACATTAAAACCCTAAGCTGCTAAACCCTAAGCTTGAAAACCCTGAAAACGCAAAAGCCCTCCAAGCCAAAAAGCACAACAAATCCTAAACCCCCAATCCTAAAACCCTGAACCCTGAACCCGCGTTCTTCTCCAAAACCCTCCTCACCTGTGAAGCAGCGGCAACCGGAGCTCCTGCTGCCGCTGCAGTGTCGGGGTTTAGACTAGGGGGGTCAAGGGGGTCTAGGGTTTAGGGGTTTTGGGGCTACAGGGTTACACGGGTTTAGGTCTTAGGGTTTGGAGTAGTACTAGTAGCTTAGGGGGTTCGGGGGTTCCGGGGGTAGGCTAGGAGTTTGGGCCTTTGGGTTCGGACAAGTTACCTCTCGAGAGCTGAAGCCAGCCGGAGGCGCGTTGTTTTGCTCCACATGATGGCTCCTAAATCCGCGGACGATCCTTGTCATATTGGGGTGGTTCTCTAGATTAGGGTCCTCTTGAGGATCCTGTTTATTAGGAGGCCGTGTTCTAAAGGCAAGCAAACCCGAACTCACATTGTGTTTAGGAATTCAGGGCAGGATTTAGATCTGCGAATGTGTCCTTGGCAACACCTGGACCATGCTTTCCACCAGCTCACAAGCTGCAGCTACTTGGAAGTTTAGGGTACTTCTTCGCCCGATACTAACTGTACTTATAACCCAACTATAACCATATTAGGGCACTTAAGGGGCTTATTAGTGGGTTCTAAGTGCAGTTATAACGGGTTAATAAGTACCATGACCCTCCACGTGAACCCTTTCTCCAGGAAAGCAGAGTTTGTCTCCGTCTGCACTTCGGGCACTCATGCCCTCATTCGCTTCTACAGGAACCGTTTCGGACTTTCAGCCTTTCGCCAAACCCCCTGAACCCTAAACCCTAAACCCGAGGTGCAGGGCTCCTGCATGTTTGGGAGTCCGCACGTCCGACAAGCCTCCCAGCTGCGCCTGTCAGGGCATGAAGCCTAGGATTTAGAGTTTAGGTTGAAGGTTAGGGTTTAGGGTGTGGGGTTAGGGTTTACGGTTTAGGGTTTGGGGTTTGGGGTTTAGGGTGTCGGGTTTGGGGTGTAAGTTGAAGGTTTAGGGTTTGGGGTTTGGGGTTTAGGTTGAAGGTTTAGAGTTTAGGGATTAGGGTTTGAGGTTTAGGGTTTGGGGTTTCGGGTTTTGGTTTAAGGTCTTATCCAACGAGCTGCCCCCATTCGTTGTTAGTACATTGGTTACCCGCATTAGTCCGCAGCCCCCCCCTGGGCCATGGAGCCAAAAAAAAGCCTGGAAAGTTTAGACCCTCAAGCTTCAAGGCTTCCCCGCAACCCTCGACCCCTACCTGTCCTACGTACAGGCCCCCCGTCCCGGCTTATAGAGGATGCCCGAAAATCCAGAATTCTTTGCGGGGGGAGGGGGGCCCTTGGATACTAAAGCGAGTGCAACCCCAAACCCTAAACCCTAAACCCTAAGAACCCTAAACCCTTAATCCTACATCGCCTGAAACTGCTGCCAGCGCTGCTGGAAGTTTTCCGGCTCCGGCTTGGAGACTGCGAGTTTAAAGGCTTAGGGTTGAGAGAGGTTTAGGGATTAGGGTTTGGGAGAGTTTGGAGGTTTGGGGTTTCGGATTTCAAGGTTTCAGGGCCTTGTGCGTTTCGGGCCTAGAGGGCTCCAGGTGGTTTTGCCGCTTGGAGGTTTAGGGCGTGGGGTTCGGATTCAAACGCTGAGGTGTTTTCTGGGTTTACAGAGTTCAAGGTCGTTGAGTTCAGGAGTTGGGGCGTAAGGAGTTTCTGCCCTTGAAGTGTTTCTTGCGTCTGTCTGTTAGGTATTGGTAGGGTTCTCGTAGGTTTTGGAGATCTACAGTTGCGGTGTAAAGGGTTCCGAGCATCGTAGATTTCGTGTTGGGGTGTCCTGAACGCTGTAACCTCAAGCCTGGACACTAAACCGGTGGAAGGTTCTTTTTCGACAGGTTTGGCTTAGGTTTGGGTTTAGGGTTTATTTCAGGTCTTCAGGGTTTAGGGTGAAAGGTTTACAGTTTAGAGATCAAAAACCCAGTTCGAGACACACCCAGCCCTAGACACCAAACCGCACCCAAACACTAAACCCTAACCCTAAACCCTAAACCCAAGACGACAAACCCAAACCCGAAAACCCTTAAAACCCTGAAACAACCAAAACACTGTAAACCCTTTACCCCCTATAAACCCTACAAAACCCTAAACCCTATAGTTGAACCCGAAATCCTAAACCCTGAACCATAAACCCTAAACCCTAAACCCTACACCCTAGCCCTAAACCCTAAACACCCAAACCCTAAACCAAACGAACAATGCGGCACCTGCGGGAAGTGAGGAAGCCAGGGCGCGGAGGACATCAGCCTGGCCCAGGAGTGGCTTCTTCCAGGGAGGGTTTGGGTTTTAGGTTTTAGGGTTTAGGGTTTAGGGTTTAGGGTTTACGGTTTAGGGTTTAGGGTTTAGGGTTTAGGGTTTAGGGTTTAGGTTTATGGTTTAAGGTTTAGGGCTTAGGGTTTAAGGTTTAGGGTTTATAGGGTTTAGTGTTTAGGGTTTAGGGTTTAAGGTTAGGGGGGGTTAGGGCTTAGGGTCTAGGGCTTCGGGGCTTAGGTGTGTAAGGCTTTTGGGGTTTTGGGTTACACTGACCCTGAAACAAAAGGACCTCTACATCCTCTGCGCCTTTACGGGAGCGCTTTGACACCTGAGCCCAATCTTGAGGACCTCCTGGCCTGTCGCACATCTCTCAGGCTCTCTGTATTATGGTCGAAACAGGGTTTATAGGGTTTAGGGTTAAGGGTTAGGGTTCACAGAGAATGGCTTGGGATTTGCGATTTAACTGGTGTGCAAACGGTTTAGGGGACAGACATAGCCCGGGGAACATGTCGCTCTAGGGTTCCAATCGGTCCATGCAGTCCAAAAAAACTCGCAGCCCCTTGCACGTGAGTCCTCACCAATGGCATGCAGCCACTATTCAACAAGTATGTTGCTTGACATTGCAGTATTATGAACACTTCGCTCCAGAACGGAGGCGCGCATTGCTCTTTTGTCGACCGTACCAAGTCCAGCTTGCCATGAACATGAAGACGTTCCTTGCATGTTCATGTCTCTTGTCCGGGCCAAGACCGATCCATCAGCATTGAGATGACGAATCGGTCCAGGCAGAACATCAAAAACCAAGACCACAGGAAACTCCAACTGCATTGCCGGAAGAAACCCAGCAGGCTCAAGTGCTCTCAGAACTCGAAGCGTCAAGAGGGCGGACATCCACCATGTCACCAACCCATGGTGGCTTCCACACCGAAATCGCCCAGTCAAGGAGCCTGAGGAGAACTGAGTTAAAGTAAAGGGTTCTCTCATCCTCAACATCCTCAACGTTCAACACTGAGATGCATGCCACAAGAATTCTAGGGGTGTTGCGATGGTTGCTGCTGGATTCGCAGGGCGGGAAGGAGGGGGGGGGATTGGGGGGGGCGAATTCTAACGCTACGGGACACACGCGGCAGTTCAACAGGGGGAATGGCACTGCGCAAGCTAAGCCGCAAATGCCGAAGTGAAGGCAAGAAGCTGCCGCCGAAGTCAGACGCCGGATGGGCATGTTCAGCTGCGGTTGGGTGGCCTCTTCTGTGTTCGTGCTTAAGGCGCTTTTCTCTCAGTTCGGTTTGGGGGACAGAGATGACATGCAGACCTGTAAGCACACGGGCAGAATTGTCACACATCCCGTAGCTGCAAGCATGCAACAAAGAAAGTCCAAGCCCACAGCTCTTGAACTTTCGGGGTTGGTGGGTAGTGCCGATTCCCCCTATAAACGTCGAAACATGAACACACCCCGGAATCAAAACTCAGATTAAATCGGGCGCATGCAACACGCCTCGAGATGCTGACGTGGGAGGGCATCGATCATCTGGCGTCGTTGCGGTAAAGTTGCGAGCTGACAGGTTTAAGGATTGGGGTGAAGGCTAGGGTCCCAAAGCCGCTAGGCGTAAGTAAACACAAAACCCAAACTTATAAAACAATAGACCAAAACCCTAAACCCTTATACATCCCAAACGCCTGAACGGGTGGATCTTCTCCCAACTTGGAGAACATCGGTACAAGTACCCTGTCTGCTGTCGCAGGCTGATATGTGAGCAGGGTTTATAGGGTTTAGGGGTTGGGTTTTGGGTTTAGGGTTTAGGATTTAGGGTTTAGAGTTTAGGATTTAGGGTTTGGGGTTTAGGGCTTAGGGAAACAGGTTTAGGGATGCAGTGTGCTGCGCAAAACAGAACAAGCCCAAGAGAAGACCTAAGCCACAGGCAGACGGCCTGCATCCCCGGCAGCATGCCCGGCTCGGCAATCTGCCTTAGGATTCTGTAGGGTTTAGGGTTTAGGGTTTAGGGTCTAGGGTCTAGGGCTTAGGGTTTAGGGTTTAGGGTTTGGGGTTTGGGTTTAGGGTTTAGCGTTTAGGGCACTCCCCTCCAAAAACTCACTTGTCTTCAACCTCAAAGGCACGTTCAAGGACTCCAAATATTGCAACAACTCGCACCAACGCTGACCTCACGTGCAGTTTGCTCAGCTTGACCTGCAGCTTGCTTTTCCTACAGCCAAAGGGGGGGGGACCTAGGGGAGGTTTGGCCTCGGCTTTGCCATGCCTTTTGTGAGAGTTGCAGGTCGGCCCTAAACCCTAAACCCTAAACCCTAAACCCTAAACCCTAAACCCTAAACCCTTACATGGTTTGTTTTAGCATGGCCTGGTGCGGACAGGGTGCCCCATCCAGGGAACTCCCAATTCGTAAGTCTCCGTCGCGGCATAGGTTCCCTCCTCCTCAGGGACAGGCTGTCTCATCTGAGTCTATCAAGCTGTAGGGGGTCCGGTCTTCAAAGGTCTTAGGCTGTGGGCTTGTTAGGGTTTAGGGCCCGCAAACCTTAGCTGGACGGACTGGCTCCTGAAAGCGGTCTAATTTGCATCGGAATGCTGGCTGGCAACTGGTTAGCAAACACGTCGAAAGAGCAGTTGCCCTGACGAGGGCGCATGTTTTCGGTCTCCAAAGTGCACAAGATGCGATCTGCAGATATGTTTCCCTTCAGCAGCACCACTTTGTGCTTCGTAGCAAAACGGTACCCCGCAGTGTTCGACGGAATGCGCCACTTCAAGCATCCAGCAGGTGTCGACACATTGAGCACCTGGCCGCCGTCTTGTTGAAAGCCAGCCACATCCTTGGGGACGCAACGAACCCTAAAAGTGGGGTCATACACCTGCTATACTACTACAATCCCTGTTAAGGTGTTTGGACCATAAACCCTTCTAGGGTCCATTTAAGGGTCAATCTTCACGACCTGGTGCTGCCGACTGCCGGAAGTGAACGCTTCGGCGTAATAAAGGGCCACTGCAGGATCCGTCGTCGTGTGGATGAACTGGTTGTTCTTGGCCTCCCTTGAGCCCTTTTCGACAGCATCCGACACCGACCCTGGGTGTTGGCATAAACAAACCCCCTAAACCCTAAACCCTAAACCCTCAACCCTAAACCCTGAATCCTAAACCCTAAACCCTAAAGCCCTATACACCCCAAACTCAAAGCACAGCTCATCATGAAAAAACGTGCTGGAAACCTTGAAGCACACCCTCAGCCGCAGCAGACCTCCATGACACAGCATCAGCGGCGAATAACGAGAATGGCCCGCTAACCCCGCTCGCTGGTTGCCTCTAAAAATAGTGTACGTAGCCCGTGACACAGCTGTGACTAGCGATCACGCGCTATCGCGCATCGCTAATCACGGCTGTATCGAGCTATATAACGGAATACTTGAGAAGAGATGGGTAACCGCAAAACTGCAAAACTCTCTTTAGAAAGCCGGCTTCTCCAAAGGTCGAATTCGGTCAAGATTCCAGACGCTAAGTGCGGAAACCTTCGTTCCAAATTCGAGTACAAGATGTGACATTGCAGCTATCATCCACATCGCATGCATAGCAGCCATGTATTTATTGCCGAGGAGCACTGAGCGCCAGGATGACGTGCTTGCAGGCCACGCGTAGCATCTTCTCCGAATCGAAGAGCACGGTACACGACTGGTGGCTCTTCCTGGATAGCTGTGGCGTTGGCAGTTCCGGGAAGTTGCCTGACCCCATGAAACCGCATGGCCAGTATCACTTCTGGCGCTCAGGCTTGGGCCTGAGAAAGAACTACGCTACGCACATTTCGGTTCCCCAGGCGAGCCTGTGTGCCCATGTGGCGCGTGTGGCCTGCACCTCCCTGAATCCGCGTGTAGCCGCCTTGCGCATGAAGTCCGTGCATTGCTGGCCCCTGCAGCATGTACTTTTCTGTGACTCTCTTCTCTTCCACTTCTACTCTAAAAAGAGCCAAATGTTGCCGGGATGTACCTTGAACCATCAAGTTTTGCACTTACATAGAAACCGATGCCGACGCAGAATCAGGCTCAGCCTTACACGAGACTAAACCCTACACCCAAAAACAAACGAAACATGACAGACGCTGAGCCTTAGAGTTCTCTGCCCTCCGAAACTTCTGAAAGCCTAGAAAGCCTGAGCCCTCTACACCTGCTGACCCAAGATACCACTTACCTAAGCCAGGCATGTTTCGAGCCTCAGGACCTCGATCGCTTGCTGAGCATCTCAGTTTGCAGGGGTCCAAACCGTAAACCCTAAACCCTGAACCCTGAACCCTTCACCCTAAACCCTAAACCCCGAGTGTCGGATCTCGAAGTTGGCATATTCAGTACAGGTTTCATTCTTCCGGGGATGCAGGTCTCCAACCAAAACATGCGAGCAGCGCCACCGGACGAAGCAGCCTAGAGCGAGCAGGGTTTAGGGTTTGGGGTTTAGGGCTTAGGGCTTAATTAGGGTTTAGGGTTTAGGACAAGCTTTCGGTGCTAGTTGAAGGCTTCAAGTTTAGGGGTATTGAGTTTAGGAAATATGTTCGACTCCCCCCCGCATCCCATGCACGCCCTCCCCCCCAACCCTAAACCCTGTGCCCTAAACCCTTACCCCTAAACCCCTAAACCCCTAAACCCCTAAACCCATAAACCCCTAAACCCCTAAACCCATAAACCCCTAAACCCCTAAACTCCAAAACTCCAAAACCCCTAAACCCTATGAGCCTAAGCCCGAAGCCCTAAACCAACCATGAACTGCAGTCTGCACAGTGACTGTAGAAAGGCGAGGCCGTGCCCCACGCAAGCACACCTAAGACCTAAACCCTCCGAAGTTTAAGGCTTAAAACCCCATAAACCCTAAACCCTAAACCCTCAACCCTCAACCCTTCTGCCAAGGCACCGATCATCCCTCCGAAGTGCTTCATGCGGCGTCCTCGGAAGTGGTGCTGAGAGATTCCCAAAGAGCACAATACCCCTTAAATGTTAGGGTTTAGGGTTTAGGGTTTAGGGCTTAGGGCTTAGGGTTCAGGAATATACCTCAAACCACATTCACGTAATAGAAGGTATATTCGTGATAAAAAAAGGGGGAAAAGGGCTATTGGGCCCTCTGGGTTACAGGAACTAATTTCAGGGCTTCTAGAGGGTTTAGGGTTGAGGATTTAGGGCTTGTAGGTTTCGGGGGGTTTTTGGGTGTGTGGGGGGGGGGGGGGGGGGGTTTGGGTGGGGCTGGCGAATGGGGCTTGTAGGGATTCTGGTGCTTAAAAGGTTTAATAAGCTTTCTGGGTGGGGTGGGGTTGTAGGATTTAGCGCGTACCTAAGCCGGGAAACACCAAGGGAAACAAAGACTCCACAGGATATCCTATAGGGATTATATGGCTTCTTTGGGCTTGCAAGCTTCTAAAGTGGGGGGTTTAGGGTTTAGGGTTTAAGGGTTAAGGGTTAAGGGTTTAGGGGTTTACCCCAAAACCCCAAACCCCAAAACCCCAAAACTCTTTCTAGGGGCTACAGGGGCTCAGCTACACAAGGCATGCCGAGCCCTGCGCACAGTGCACACGGGCCGCGCGTCGGGGCCGGGCTTCTCTTTGGCTTGCGGCTTCGACCTGTCACTTTGGGTTAGGGTTTAGGGTTCAGGGTTCAGGGTTCAGGGTTCAGGGTTCAGGGTTTAGGGTTTAAGGTTTAGGGTTTATAGGGTTTAGGGTTTCGGGTTTAGGGTTTGAAGGTGTTTAGGGTCTGGCCTGTGGGAAACAGGCCTGTCGCTACCCCCTGGGCTTTAAACATTGTCCCTATAACCCTATGGCTCTCAAAAGCACACCTTACACCCGCATCTACATCCACCAAGGAATCCAAACACTCCTCAGCCCCGTAATGCTCCTTAACATGAACCTAAGCCCCTAGACCTTCAACCCTCAACCCCTAACCCTTCGACCTAAAACCGCAAAATAATACCTAAAGCCCTCACAGCTTCCCTAAACCTCTATAAGCCTGAAGGCCCCAAAACCCTAAAACGCCCTAAAGCCCTTATAGCTTCACCAAAAACCCCCCTGCCAAAACCCTAAACCCTAAACCCGCGCCTCTCGGAGGGCTCCGTCAAAGCGAAGGTCTGGAGTGCCGTCGCCGTAACTCGGTGCTTTGAGGCTTAGGGTTTTTAGGGTTTAGGGTTTGATTAGTGTTAAACCCTGAACCCTAAACCCAAGACCCCAAACCCCAAACCCTAAACCCTAAAACCCTAAAAGGCCCAAGCGGCCAGACTTGAGAATCCTTGGGTGCGCGGGGCGGGAGCTTCGCAGCGGCGCCTTCCGGACGGTTTTGGCTTTCAATCGGGCCATCGGGTGATTTAGGTTTCGGTTTAGGGGGTTTAGGGTTTGGGGATTTGGGGTTTAGGGGTTGAAGGTTGAAGGTTTAGGGTTTAGGGTTTAGGGATTTGGGGTTTAGGGGCTTTGGTTTGAAGGTTTAGGTTTTAGGGTTTAGGGTTTAGGGTATAGGGGTTTATAATAGGGGCTTTGGGTTTAAGGTTTAGGGTGGCAGTTTACAATCTATAGTTAGGGGATAGGATCAGGGGATTTTTGGGGATATAGACCCTCTCAATAAGGTCCCTCTGTAAGAGAGCCAGAAGAGGGTTAAGAAGGGTTCCCTTTGAAGGGTTCCCCTTGTTCTACCTAGGATAGTACTTCTGTAGGGATATTCACGGGGATCATATTGTGGGTAGTTGAAATTAAGCATGCTGTACTTACATTGGGAATATACCGAGATACCGATACCATTGGCGACAACTAGAACCGGTAGTATGCTGTACCGTTCTTACACAACGGAATACAAGGCGGGCGTAGAACTCCGGAGTGAGGTAGGGAGATAGACTGTTGCTCCACGTGTTGCTGCAACATGTTTGGATTTATTCGGGTTTGCGGCTTGGGCTAACACTCGGTTCGCAATCCCTATACTACATGCTCCTAAGACCAGACACACACAGATCACGTATGAACTCAAAACGTCTTCCGAATGAACGAGTCTCCAAGAAGCCAACTATCTAGGGGGACTCTGCTGGGGCCCCTTTGTTTTCGTAGAACCCTGATCTGCTTTTGCAAACTAGAACTGCACCCCCTTAAGCTTCAAGCCAGCCATGGCCATTCCCCCCCCCCCCCCCCCCCCCCAAAAAAAAAAGAAAAAAAATCGAGCGAAAGCTGGTGAACTTCGACTTGAACCCTAAACCCTGAACCCTAGACCCTTAACCCTAAGCCCCAAACCCCTAAACCCTGAACCCTGAACCCAAACTGAAACCTGTGAGGTGCTTCCTTTTGAGGGCGTAGAGCATTGTAAGGCTGGGGCTCAGAGTCTAAGGTTTAGGGTTTAGGGTTTAGGGTTGAGGGCCCATTAGAGTTGAGGGAGTGCTTTCCCATGTTATGTATTTGCTATTTTTTGTTGTGTGTGGGGGGGGGGGGGTTAGGGTTTAGGGTTTAGGGTTTAGGGTTTAGGGCGTAGGGTTTAATTTAGTGCTTAGGGCTTAGGTTTGAGGGCTCAAGCCAAGCAGGGGGTAGCAGTGAGGCAAGCTTCGAGCAACTGACTAAACCCCACCCCCCCCCCCCCCCCCCCCCCCCCCCCCCCAGTTTACCCCCCCACGGTTTAGGGCTCAGGGTTCAGGGTTTAGGGTTCAGGGTTTAGGGTTTAGGGCAATCTACCATCAACGTGGATCAGCTTCTACCTTTTTTGAGGGCTGATACGACAACCTGTACGAGAACAAAAGGAAACGCTTTGGGGGTTAGAGTCTGAGGGCCTTCCCTGTTTCATGCCCTCAAAAATTCAGCAAGGATCATCCCCCGGAGAACCCCCCCCCCTTTCCCTAATACATTCGATATTCCGCATAAACCTTAAACCCCAAACCCTAAACCAACCTTAAACCCCAAACCCTAAACCCCAAACCCCAAACCCAAAGAGGCAGCACTCCGAGACAGGCACATCCTCAAGGATCAGGTCGCAAGACACAAAGGGAGACCTGTCATTCCCGCAAAAATTCAGAGTTCCACAGTGATTCTACAGGTCCATAAAACCCTTAACCCTCCAAACCCAGAACGCTAAAACAAGAACCTTAAAGGCTTACAGAGCAAGCTCTGGGCATGTGTCGGGCTCAGGATTCGGCATCCTACAAGGTGTGTTTTGCAAACAAGACGAGCTTGAACTATAGGGTCACTTACAAGATTGTTGGGCAGTCACTTGCCGTAGTGCCACTACAACCCATTCTCGATTTCAGCGTGGGTCGTCG